TATTATGACTAATGTAATTACTAATAAAAGTATCATTTGTGTTGGTATGTTAAACACACCATTAATCTTTTTTTTTTATGTCACAGAGTAATTTCTAATTTATTCTTTATCAATAAATCCTTCCAATTTACTGAAACACACAACTATTACTTATTCGAACAGTGAAATTGTTTTATTAATATTCCACAATTTCATAAATTATACATCTAGGTGTATACCTACCCTGTAATTCTATTATCGATTTTCAGGCTATTAGCCTAATGTGATATGGAATACTTATGTGTGTTTGAGTTTAACTCTGATGTGAGAACAATTTATTAATTTTTTTCTTGTACTTTTTTAAATATTTCTCAACATGACAAGGAGCAGACTTCAGAAATACAATACAATGAATTTTTGCCATTTAGGTATCTACAGAATTAGTGGTTCTATTTAGGTCTACTGTCTGAATCAATTTTCCGTTTTTGTCATTTCTTTAATAAAGTTTTCCCAGTGTCTGTTTTAATAAAAAATATATTCACTTTTTCAAACGACACAGTTGCTGAATTTGGATTTCACTTTAGTTGTTCCAATGTAGTCTTTCATATTTTTTACATGTCGTTCAGTCGGATTGAATAATTCACAGCAATATGCAGGCGAACAAAGTACTTCTAAGGTCGAACAGAGCTCTAGTCCATGTTCCTTTACAAGTTGATCAATAAGACAGGAATTGCATTTTCCAAATATTTCAATTTATTTTACAAATTGGATAATGTTAGCTTTCTCCATAAATTGTTTGAACTTTTCTAATCTGCCTAGAATGATACCGATAAATATCCACATACTATAAGAGCAGCTGGTGTAATTTATTTTTCCCAAAAGTGATTTTCAATATGCTTTAAACAACACAGCATCCATATCTTGTTGATAATCGATACTTGAGGGAGCTATTTTTAACCAATTTCAGCCTTCTCCCTCCCAGCTTGCAAAATTAAACTCGCTTACCATTGGAAGTGGGAACTTGCAATTAGCTTTCCATTGAGGCATCTGTGCAACAATTATTTTGAATCATCTATCAGGCTGCGTTTTGGTTGATAATGGTTTTCCCAAGGGTTTTCCCCCTAAAACCCCTGTTAATTATTGACTTTTACTTTAATACACATTGCTTAATAACTAGAGGTGGGCCAACCTGCGATTTTAATGGAGCTGTGACAAGACGTGACTGCTCCAGTCGTGTCACTGTGACAAATAGCAGTGATTTTTTGGAGCAGTTTTACCTTAGTTGGCGGCCGTACTGCTAATATAATGTTAATGCTACATCGCAAAAAGGCATAATCGCAGTCACGGCCGAGAGAGATGCTCCAGTTTCCAGCCTGCCCTCTGCAGTAGCAGTTTCGATTTGGCGTGACCGCGATGCGTTTTTTCATTTTATTATTCTATTTACATCACTTAGCTAGAGCTTTGTCCGCGCTGCATCGGTCGGAGCTTGAACTGGCAGTGACAAAATGTCACTGCTACTTGACTGGGACTGGAGCAGGCTGTGACTGTGACAGACGAGTAGCAGTGACAAAGTCACAGTTCGTGAAATCGCAACCCACCTCTATTAATAACAGCATTCGACTAGAATTTATTTATTTATTTATTTATTTATTTATTTATTTACGGGCAAGACCCATTAAAAAAAAACAACAAGAAACATTAAGTACCTTACAACTAAATAAACATAGGCCAGTAATACTTGGCGTAGTAACAGGATAAAAATACATATAAATTATTAACAGTAAAACATTAAATCAGTTATAGGTATAAGAAAATAGAGGACAAACATAAATAATGACTGATCAAGATGACTAGAAATTCTTAGCTATCGAACTCGGCATCACAAACAAACAAGGAGAATTACATTAGAGAGTTAAGCTCTCTTTTAAAGCTATTTATGGGTCCAAAAAAATCCAGGCTACCATGGGTGTTACCTAATCGAGAAGTTCTGGAGATGAATGTATTGAAACCATAGTTTGTACGGTGATTTCTTTCTGAGAAGGTTATGGCAGAGCGGGTGTCCCTTGCTGGGACGTGAAGCCCTATTCTGGACAGTAGGTATGCGGAATCACTAATGGAGTTCAGTACCTTGTAAAAAGTATATAAATCTCTTTGATTGCGTCTAGCTGCCAAGGGTTGTAGATTGAAGCGTCTGTATAGGTCGTCATAGTCATACACATAGTTCTCAGGCGAAGGAATACCTGCCTTGAAGGCTAAATAACGTACGAATTTGCGCTGCACTAGCTCTAGGGCTCTGATATGATTAGAATACATTGGTGACCAGACAGAGGAGCAGTACTCCATCAGGGGCCTCACCATTGAGCAATAAAGGTATCTGATAGAATCTATGCTTGTAAAATCTCTCGAACACCTCTTAATGAAGCCTACAAGTTTTAACGACCTTGTTGTGATGTCTGAAATATGGGTGATAAAATTGAGACTGCTGTCAAAAATGACACCAAGATCTCGTTGTTGTGAGACAGTTTCAAGCGGAATGTTGTTTATATGGTACGCGAATTGTGGAGGGCTACGACCCTTGGAGAAAACAATGGCTTTGCATTTGGAAGCATTGAGCTCCATGCCGCTCAAAGCGCACCACTCAGAGAGTCTGTCGAGGTCAGATTGTAGTCTGGCACAGTCTTCAATAGAAGAGACCCGGGTGAACACCTTTAAATCATCCGCAAAGCACAGGAACTCACTGTTAATAAAACAAGACTTGATATCGTTAATAAAAACGTTGAACAGCAGAGGTCCCAAGTGAGAACCCTGTGGAACGCCCGATGGGATGTCAATTTCGTGTGAGAAGAAGTTGTTAACTTTGATTATTTGAGTTCTCTCCCCAAGATAGTCGCTAATCCACTTCAACAAAGTACCGGAGATTCCAGCACTTTCAAGCTTAGCAAGCAGAACGGCATGGTTGACACGGTCAAAGGCCTTTGCAAAATCGGTATATATGGAGTGAACTGATTCGCCATCCTCAAGAATTCTTGAAACTTTGTCCTGGTAGGACAGGAGATTGGTTTCAGTTGAGCATTTTGGACGGAAACCGGTCTGCTGCTCAATTAGACTGGGATTGATTTTTGGAGTTAAAAACTTTGTCACTATGCTCTCAAATACCTCTGGGAAGGTGTTTTGGATGATAATGGGTCTGTATTTTGAAATATCCATTTTATCGCCAGATTTATGAATGGGTATGGTGAAGCTCTGCTTCCAGAGTTTAGGAAATTCACCCAAACTGAGTGACTTGTTGAAAAGAATGAAAAGTGGACGGGATAATACAAAGCTACAATTCTTTATCATAAGAGGTGGGACACCGTCTGGACCTGGACCCTTAAAAGACTGCAGGCTACATAGTTCTTCATAAATAACTGATATTGAGATGTTAAATTCATGAATATGTGCATCGCTCCGAGAGATGTCCTGACTAGCAACACAGATTTTGTTGGAATAAACAGAATGGAAGTATTCAGCAAAGAGATTAGCTATCTCTGAACCATTTTTGGCAATGTTGCTATTATAAAACATGTGAGACGGCAAACCATTCGCTTTTCGCTTGGCATTGATAAAACTCCAGAAGTGTTTGAGGTTGTGATCATTCAGCAGTGACATTTCAGAGCGCTGCACATAATTCAGATAGGAGTCCTTTGAAAGAGTCTTACACCGAGTGCGAAGATTCGAGAAGTTGTCATAGTCACTAGGAGAGTCAGTCCGCTTCCAGGTTCTGTGTGCTTCTTTCTTCTTGATTATGAGTTCCTTTAGGTCGAAGGGGAACCATTTAGGAAATTTATGGGTGGAAAGCTTTTTCTTTGGTACAAAGCAGTCAATAGCAGTGTAAAGAATGTCATAAAAAATACTGACCATTTCTGCTACAGTTGGGCCTTGGAGTAAAGCATCCCAGTTGATCATACTTAGATGATCATTGAGAAGTGCATACTCGGCAGATTTAAAATCATAGTAGTACTCATCAGGTTGCGGGTAGTCTGAGTTACACTGCTGGGTCTCGGCACATAATATGTTTAATATTAATGCAGGGTGATATGAATCAATAGGGAGAAGGATGTCATCTGCCAAGGTGCAGGTGTCATCAGGATCCTGACTAAACATCAGGTCTAACAGAGAGCCATGCGCATTGTGGAACTTGTTTATTTGAAACATGTTATGGTAAGCACTCATGTTGGATAGGTACTCAGTAGCTGCGCGCTCTGAGGGAATAGCGGAGGGGGTTGCAGTAGCACTTGAGCTCAGGCCGTCATCAACCCATTGTGCTTTGGGTAAGTTAAAATCCCCAAATATGCAGAGCTTGTAATCAGGAAATGTTTCAGATAAAGTATCTACTGAGTCTGAAAAACACTTATAATTATCTCCATTAGATTTCGGAGGTAGGTATACAGCTCCAAGCAATAGTTTACTATTAGCAGACTGCACTCTTACAATTACAAGAATTGGGTTATAATGGTTATAAGGATCTGTGTATTTTATAGTTAAGATTCAAATCCCATTTTGATAATAATTTTTCTTTCTTACATGGAAACAGTATCGATGAAAGTGTGTATTCATTTTCATAAGTTCCTTAGACTAGACTAGACTATGTCCTCCAAGCACACTCAGTTAAAAATTTCAATAACCACAAATAAACAATAATCAATAAAACAATAATCAATCGGCAACATTCAGGTCTATGCTGTGCGCCATTTACTGATCAACAAAATATCATTTTAACAATTGGAATATTCGGAATACTTTCGGAAATTTTGCAAAATCGATTTTATTTTTTCCTGAGCTTATTTGAAGTGATATGTATTTTGAAATAAATGCAACTTTATCATTGATACCTGTGATTGACACTTTCATCCCTCTACAAAATAGCATTTGATGGCATTCTATAATTTGAAATCTGACATCTCGTCTTTGGTCAACCATCATCAGAATTAAAGCCACAATACAAACACAAAATATACCACTTAATTCATGTTTATTTCTAGCTCCGTTCTGATGTAGTACCCAAGACTGCAGAGAACTTCCGTGCTCTCTGCACCGGAGAAAAGGGTTTTGGCTACAAGGGTTCCACCTTCCACCGTGTCATCCCCAACTTCATGTGCCAAGGTGGCGATTTCACCGCTCACAACGGTACCGGAGGCAAATCTATCTACGGAAGCAAATTCGAAGATGAAAACTTCACCCTGAAGCATACAGGACCTGGAGTAATGTCAATGGCCAATGCCGGACCTGACACTAACGGGTCTCAATTTTTCATTACCACAGTTAAAACATCTTGGTTAGATAACAGGTACGATTTTAAACCAAAATTTTTCTGATTTTAGGAATCTAATGTATTTTTTTAATTTTCAGGCATGTTGTGTTTGGTATGATTGTTGAAGGTATGGATATTGTGAAGAAAATTGAAGCCCTTGGCTCTCAATCTGGAAAAACCATGAAGAAAATCACTGTAGCAGACTCTGGTCAATTGTAAAATTCCTAAAGCAAATAACTGTATACAATTTTATGCAGATGCACCTGTTTACAACATTACCTATTTGTCCAATTCTTTATTTCAAAATTGATCCAATTTTTCTTTTATTATCAAACTGCCAACTTGGAATTTCAAATTTTGGCGCTACTAGTATATCTTAATAATAATACCTAATAACTGAAAGCATGTATCACATTAATTTGGTCTGATTATAGCTTAGATGGCTTAAATTTAGTTAATAATCATAATCATTGCTGGGGGTTGGTAGAGTTTTCAAACAATTTAAATAAAAACTTTGTTATTAATTAATCCATTTCACCATTTAGATAATTTGGGTGTATCGTATGAGGAACAATTTTTAAGTGTTTTTCTATACGTTTGTGATCCAATTTTGGCGCTCTTAGCCTCTAGTTTTAGTGATAAATGTCTGCATTTAACATTTTTACTTCAGATTGGCGTCAAAAAAGTAATAATACAATTTTAAATCAGTTATTTGTGTTTTATTTTCTATTATTTTTGTTTTTCATTGAGAGTCGTGTTCCAGCATTCAAAATATCTGCTTACTAGGCTTAGGCTCAGTTGTCCATTCTTGGTTTAAAACAGAGTTCAGCTGAACTCGATTGGTACTTGAACGCTTGAACTTCCCGATTTGAAATGCATTGCTGTCAAAATTGATTAATAGCTGACAGCAATTTATTTTAAATGGGAAAGCTCAAGTACCAGTCTAAAGCCCGGGACACATCTATCATGCATCCTTCCGATCCGACTCCGATCATACAATGATGGTCCTTATTCTTGGACAAGAGGAAGCAGCATTCCCAGGAGAACGAGTGTTCCGCTGCTCCCCTGTTCCAAGAATAAGGACCTTGATTGTATGATCGGAGTCGGATCGAGAATGCATGATAGATGTGTCCCTGACTTAATTCAGTTGAACGCTGTGCACAGATACGCTGTGGTTGAACTTTGTTTTGAACCGAGATTGTAGAACTGGGCCTCAATAATTCATCTCCTAAGTTAAATATTATTAATCTCATGTTGGATGAAAAACTGCTGAATGATAAATTTATTATATGGACCAAGGGTACTGCTGAAAGGTTGGCCGTTTTTTCAATTAGTCAAGTATATTTTGCACTAAGGGCTCAATATTAAATTGACTAAAAGTACTGAATATGCAATAAAAAAACCAATAATCCTACATAAAGTTACAATAATTGAATAAAGTATTTTGAGAAAATATGCTGAAAAGATTATAATCTAAAAGTTTCACAGATTCTACCCAATTTCCAACATAAGGGGGACCTATTATATCTTCTTTAACAAGTATCATCAGACCAGTCTTTATTAACTGAGGATCCTTGATTTGATCATCCATTTTGTTTTTTTTTGCTGCAAGTTGTGCAGATACTCATGTGACAATGGTTTCCGAAAGTATGAAAGGATCACATTTTCTGTAAAAAATGCCCAGGTGTCAGGATTTCAAGATCATTGGGATCGTCGGAAACACGAAATAAGGGTCCGGAATTTAAAATATACTCAATCTGCATTAAAATTGTATGGAGGTACAAATGTTCATAAGTTAAATGATGATCTTCAATGTGATGGTCGTGTCTGCATGCAGACAGGTGTCTAGGGACGCTTCTGTATATTTACAGACAAAATTTGTAGTCCTTAAAAGGGCGCGTCTCCGAAAGCAGACGCCTATGCTTCATTACACGTGTTTTTTTTAAAATAAGGGTCCCAGTGAATGAAAAAAAAAAATACTGAGAAGTGTCCATACACGTCCATTCCATGCAATTTTGAAATTATATAGAAAAATTATTATTGTGATCTCCACATGGTCCCTTTTTTTGCTTAGCGTCCGTCAATGTGTTAATAGTTCTGACTAAATGGTGTTTTACTGATTTTACAGATGACTCATGGACCCCCGAAGGTCGGTGAGCATAGGGGTTTAAAATTCCATGTAATACGACTTTCTAAAAAATAGTTTTTATCTATCGTCATTGTTGAGGGTGCGAAGTTCTTTGTGCATTTCCTTAAGATGGTTAGTTGGCGCCAACAAAGTTGGCTCCACTGTCGGAATACAGGTTCTTACAAAGACCTGGTCTAGAAACGAACATTTTAAAGGCGTGTTTATTTATTCTCTGAAGCCTGGATAACTCTCCTATCAATTCTAAATGTACCTATGTACTTTGTGGTATATAGCAAACAAAAACACAAATGTAGGACTTAACTAATTTTCTTGACTGCCCAGTATTTTGTACAGATGGAGGATAGAGTAATTTGTGTTCCACCCATGTAATAAACTTTCATGTTAATTTATAATCAAAAATTTAGTAAAACCATGTTTATGTCGTAGTAGGTATTAATTTATGATCAAAAGTTAATTGAATTTTTAAGACGGCCTGCTACTCTTAGGATGCCATCGTAAAAAAAAGGATTCAAATAAAACGAACTTACTATGTCTATAGATATAGTTTTTTTTATCTTCACACATTTATACTCCTAGTAAAAGTAAGTTTCTGGAACATGTACATACTATAATGGCCATTTGCACGGCTATCATTTAAGAGATATTTAATCTAAGTGGAGCTTAGAATGCGACTTTTGTTTCTACAAGAGTCACATTCAAAGCTTCACTTGGATTAAATATTCCTTAAGTTATAGAGGTGCAAATGGCCGTAAGAGCATTAAGTCGCTTGATCCTAAGCCTGCAATAGTCAGTGATCCTGTTTAAAATTGGACACTGTTGTTTCTTTAATTTTCAAATTAATAAAGAATCTTATCTGAAAAAAATTAAGATGTTGGTATGATGAGATTCAGGAATTATGTCATCCCAATCTAATTGCAATTTCCATTATTGCTGGAGATTGATCGCATAGTCCTAATGGGTCAAATATTTGACTAATGCGAGTTCACATTTTGATGATTTGGGCCTGAAAAATTAAAGTTTTGCCGACGGAAACCATTATCCATCGAGTTAACACAATAAAGTCTGTTAAAATGGTTTGACTTTTCTTCGAGAAATTTATCTTGGTTATAATGCCTTCTTGACTAGGGCTTCGCTAGACCAAGACCAAGACTGGCCAGTCTTGGTCTTGGTCTCGAAAAATAAATGCGGTCTTGGTCTTGGTCTTGGTCCTGATAGTCTTGATCTTGGTCTTGATAGTCTTGAATAAAATTTATACCAAATTTTCAAAATATACATAACATATAACGACAGAGCTGTGATAATTTAGGACTTCAGAAATAAAAAATAAAACTCCCTTTCTAAAATAAATATGCCGACGTTTCGACCATACATTTGGTCTTCTTCGCGGGATACTTTTATCAACATCAGCGTTTCATGTCAAAAAATACCGCATAAAGCATTCGATAATACAGAGGAACAAACGTCAATTCTCAAATTAGAATTTTTATCAACAGAAAAATTGCTAAAAATTATAATATAAGTTACAAAACAACCACGATTGACTTTCATTACATTATGTTGTATTTTTAAAACCTATAATACCTTCTCGTGAATTTGAAAAAATAATAAAGATGAATTGATTTAATTAAAAGACATTGAAAGTAGATATAGGAATTTGCCTATTTTTATAAATATTGAGTTGATTTTTTTTTTCAAGACCACGACCAAGACGAGAGTCTCGAGAGAGAGTCTTGGTCTTGAACGTCAAGTCTTGGTCTTGGTCTTGAGAAGATTTATCAGGTCTCGGTCTTGGTCTTGCTACCAAGACCAAGACTAGTCTTGTGGTCTCGCGAAGCCCTATTCTTGACGTACGGCTCTTATCGCAACGAATGAAGAGGAAGATGTACCGTAAGTAACAGTACCTATCCAAATTATAATGAGAAATGTTTTGGTTAGTTGTTCAGGACTAGGACGCCATAGGATACGTTGTAAATGACGTTGTCCTGTACTAACCATTACTTGTCTGTACATCTTTGTGATATCAGCCTTCATGATATAGTAGGGGAGAGCCGCCAACAGTAGCCAGGTCCGGACAGTGGTCATTCTGTTATAATTTGGAAAAACTTTGTCAGTCACCACTTTACATTGCGCGTTTAGTTGTACGATTCGACCGGCAAAACCTTGAGGCGATTAGTTCCATTTTGTATGAGCTAGAGTGAGAATGAGAAAATTCGGAGCGAAAACGTAGATTTTGAGGTAAGTTTTCAGTGCTTTCACACTTTTTGCTGAAATGATTTTCGAAAAAACACATATTTTTTCAATGAAAGCTGTGCTTTGACTCTAATTTAACGATATTTAATTTCTCAAATTGATTTATTTTTTTGCACAAAATCTAATTTTTTTATTCAACATGTGGTGTTCCCTACGGTGGCCACTACATCGTTCCGTACAATGGCCACTACTTACCTGGTAATTATAGGAGTAGGCACTGTTACTTATTTTTTTTCCAGGCAGCATCAGAGCGTCCAAAGCTGGGTCATGGCAAAATACCTGAAAATACAATATTAAACGCAGCCATACGCCTTGTGCAAGGCAAATAAGAAGTTTTGCTCATGAGTTGGCCAAACATTACAACAAAGAATGCCCCAAGCATGGGTTGACAATTAAAGCGCAGGAAAACACTGGTTCACAGGATTTATGAAAAGAAACCCATCTGTATCTCTACCTTCTGCTGAAGCTACATCTCTAGCAGGAGCTGTAGGATTTAACGGGGTTGTAGTCAGAAATTTTATTGAAAACTTAAAACAACTGTATGAAAAGCATAAATATCACCCATCTCAGATTTGGAATGCAGATGAAACCGCATTGACAACTACTGTTCGAGGCAGAAACAAAGTCGTTTCATAGAAGGGACGAAAACAAGTGGGCCAAGTCATCTCAAGTGAAAGAGGAACCTAAGTCACGATGGTAGGAGCCATTAATGCTATTGGGAACTCCGAGCCACCGCTTCTAATATTCCTACGGAATTTTTTCAAAGACCAACTTAGTTTTTCCCTTACGTTTGTTTATTAGCTATTTTCTAGATAGTAAAAACAAGTTATATTGACTTTTTGTTTTCAAATTTCTTGGTGGCCACTGTTGAGGTTAATGGTGGCCAGTGTGGGAGTATGTCCCCAACAGTGGCCAATTTGATAAAAATATTAAAACACAAAATGATAGTTTTTGTAAAAATGATGTATTTTGGTTAAAGATAAATATATTTAGGTACTGTGTAAAAAATTATTAAACGTGTTTAAATTGCTTCAGATAAAAAAGTAGTAGGCGCTTCTTTAAAAAGGTGACAACTGTTGGCGGCTCTCCCCTATTTGTGTTCACGAAAACGGAGTCAAATGCTCAACAAATCATCTTGTAATACAGGTCCTACACAGAGAACATTATTCAATGATATACCGCTTGAACTTTTACAGCTGCCGTCAAAAACATCCCGTAATTTTGTCGTCTGACTATTTACTTTGCACACCTCATGGTGAGGTAAATAATATTTCATATCTAGAACATTTTTAATTTGTGAATCAGATAACTTCTTGGTCATGTGACCTAAGGCTTCTCGTATTC